GTTATTCGCGATATTATTCACGCCTTTTGTCAGTCGTTGATTTGCGGTGTTATTTGCAGCAGTATTCTAGCATTATTGCAGTGTTATTCGTAGGATATTCGTGCCTTTTGTAGACGTTGATTCGTTGTGTTTTGCGGTGTTATTTATGGTAGTATTCAGATGCTATTGCGGTGTTATTCACATAGTTTTTTAGTGTTATCGGTGAGTTACGCAACATTATTCGAACATTTTGCCTGAGTCGATGTTACTCGAGTTGTTTTCCGATAGTATTTAAGTGTTATTGCTGTGTTATTACCTAGATTTTTTTGTGTTATTGGTGAGTTACGCGGTGTTATTCGCACCTTTTGCCAGAGCCGGTGTTACTCGACTTGTTTAGCGGTAGTATTAATGGAAAATTAATTTTATACTAAAAATGATTACTTTTAATCAAAAAAATACATACGTTCATTGTTTCTTATTTTGATAATTATGCAAATAAATTTTTTAGAAGATTTGCATGCATGGCACTCAATTTTTATATATTTACATATCTAACACCTAAATTTTAATTCTTACATACCTACCACCTTACCACCTTATTTATGCATGCTAAGGTGCATGCTAAGGTATATATATTTTTTTTAAATAAAATGATGATATAAGTTTTAAAACTTAGTAATCAAACAGATAATTTAATTTACTATATATTATTTATCCAGGATAATAAATTAATGTAATTTACCATATAGTATTTATCAAGGATACTATTTCAGGTGAGTAAATTTCTTTTATTGGTAAACTAATAACTTTTTCGTTTAAAAAAATAAACAACTACAAAGATTTCTCATAAAAAAATAACAGACTTATTAAAGCAATTGAAACAATATCATGTCAAAATTAAAAAATTATGATTGCACTAAAAAATTAATAATAAATATTAGCAGATTTATTATATCTATGACAGTTCTGTCGTAAACAGCATTGTTGCACAGGGGCAGAATGATCATTTATTCAGAAATTACTACAAATCAGGTGTTTTCCAAACGCACAAACCAAACAGATAGTCAACATATCTGAATCAGCTTCTGATCAGCACAAACCAAACAGGCATATCCGAATCAACTATTGATCAGCAGCTTATCCAGATCAGCTGTTGATTAGCAGCTTGTCAATAATCTGCAGCTGCCCCAAACAGACCCTTAACTTGCAACCTTGCTTGTGTCTAATTAGTCTCTTTCAATATATATGATGCAACAAAATCACACCTTAATGTTTGCCACCTCCATATTTGTGCCACACACTCAATCGCAACCTCCTATAGCCATGCCCATAACATTGTTAGAGCTACAATGATCTCCATCAGACATGTGTTGCAATTTCACTTCTGTCATAGCTCTCCTTTAAGACAAACTGCAATTATGCTTGTGTTATAATAATCCTAAGGACCTAAGCCACAAATGTCATCTTCAAACCTATAATGTAGAATAGTTTACATTCAAGTAGTCATCATCAAGATCTACACTTAAAATAGCACTGGCATCATAGTTATCACCGCCTCAAAACCTACATCACAACCTTAACTGCATACCAGCTAACTTCATCAAGATAAAATGACGGGCCAACATTTGTGCTGTAATCATCATTGCCCCTAGAACTACAACACAATCATCTCTTTCAAATCAACAACATGATCTAGCTGGCTGCAAGAGCTATAGAGTTAATATGTTAAGAGTAGCAATCGTCGCACCACTAAAATTGTGTCGCAATCTCTTTTGTTGTGGTTGTCACTTCTAAATATGCCCCGGAAACCCATTTGCACCACCACAGCCATCTACGTGAAAAGATTTCTTAATTCATATTTCCACCTTGAAAATCAATCCTTAGAGACCAACCATCGATCTCCTAGTTGTTAGTTGTTTGCTTCCAAGCTCCCCTCCGCTAGTTGTTGCTTCTGAATCATCCCATGAATTCTGCCTCAACTGATAGCCCACCCAAGCCTATGCCAACTACTTTTTTACCCTTAAAAAATAAACAAATGTTCCCCTCATTATCACTCAGACAACTCCTTTCTTCCCTTATTTAATCCATTATTCTGAATCAATTCCCCTCATATATCAGTCAGACAACTCCTTTCTTCCCTTATTTAATCCATTACCGCCTCATTGATCAATGTAATCATAAATGCCACCAACGAATATTGTGGGTTTTTATATCAATTAATTGCATAGTTATATTATAGTCGTTGATTTTTAATATTTATGTTAGAAGCTCTCCACAGCTTGTATAAATATTGGGCAAATGTTAAAAGAAAACTTAAACAATTCTCTCTAAATCTTTTTAGAGCATCAAAGATTTTAGGCTTCTTTGTAAGCACTTTCATATGTTGTAGCCTTCATCGATGCAATGCCTAGAAATTGTAAGTCTTCACTATTACAACTTACTTTCGTTCAAAGCATTCATCACTGCAACCTTATTTTTATTCTTCTCATAACCATTTACTACTACAATTATCCCTTCTTTTGTATTACAATAATACCCATTTTCCCTTAGTCATTGAATAATTTGGAAATGAGAATGGAAACAAAACTTGATGGGAGAATTACAAAACATTCAATCAAAAAATTGCCTCGAGTAACCACAATTGATCCACACCTATTTGAAAGAAAAAGAAAAAACGAGTCATTTACTCAGTGTCAACCCCACACTCAAAACTTAAGATGAATAGGAACCAATGGTCGTGTCCTAATTATGGAACTTTATGATTACAATGGTACAATGTCCCTTCATTTCACAAAAAAAATTTGAGAACAATGAATCAAACATATTAAAAAATTCACAAAGCAACACAAATCTATGAGTTCAAAACAAAAATCTCAGCAACAAAACAAGGAAGATTTGTCATAGAACACTCCAATGTACTTCAAGGCTTTAGCTGAGAGAATTTTTTATTTTATTTTATTTAAGGCATTGGCTAAGATATTTGTTATTTTGACCCCCAATTATTGAACTAAGGTAAAAGGGCATTTTTGTAATGTGGTACCGCTCATCTACCACATCTCACCTACCGTTCACCTACCGCTCACCTACCTCCCACCAACCACTCTCTTGCT